GTTCAATTTTGGTGCAAGTTTCCTTCCAAATAAATACCAGTAGCTTCATGCACATGTAGCGGTACAAAGAACACAACCCATGATTTATGAGCAATATTATCATTCTGTAATTGACAAAACATGTACATCCTCCATGAAATTTGACTGCTGCAAATATTCAAATGTGTATGTACTGTACATGTACCTGTGACCATGCATGTACATGCACCAGACTGTTCCCTGTTTATGATCATACCTTAATTTGTTGATGTTACGATTTCATCCCAAGAGTATTTAAGCCAGTGTTTCCATTCTCACCACAGTGCTAGAACCACACATACAACTAAATAAATAATTCAGACTAGCCGGTTCAATGAATCCAAGGAATCGTATTCACTTTCGGACGTACATGTACATGTATACCCAACACCTTTGTACCGGTACATGTAAATGAACATGTACATGTAGGCTTCTGCTAATGCAACTGGCTAACCTGGACATGACTTAACTGGAACACCCATGCCAACTTCTCACACAGGTTGAGACAGCTACAGTACCGTAACTGCATAAAACACAAAGCAGGCAGGAGATGTTTCTAGGGAAAATATCCATTCTCCTGAAACTGCCACATCTTAGACTGAGGTAGTACATTTTATCAAATTCTGCTGTTTAGTTCTGATATAAACAGGACATGCAGGTTGTCGGGATTGTTATTACAGCTTTTAATTTGTCACATGTTCTCGTTAACACTAATAAGCCTGATTCTGCCCACACTGCAAACTGTCCACTCACTGCTTTAATTTGGCACTTTCACTCAAGTTTAAAGCAACAGCTTGATAATGGGTTGTTGACTCGACTGCAATTGGAAATAGAATCACCTCTCATGCAAATTTTGAAAATGTCATAACCACACAATTTGGTCATTAAATACAATGTACAAGTTTTAATGTTTAAAACTTTCAGGTGGCTTTATAAAGAGTGCTCCATTCACAGGGGATCATAAAAAGATTACCTCACATACTGATACTTTCTGAGATCATCTTTCACACTAAAAAAGGAAGAAGGAAAGCAAATTCTTTCAGTAAAACTGAAATATTCTTACTTCCATGAGATACTTGATGCAGTAATTTCACCTTTAATCATTTTCATAAATCTAAAACCATGACAAGCCCACTGACTCTGGTTGACCACAAAACCACAGGCATACTGAAAGTCATCACCCTTAAAACCTCAGCCTCACAAATCATCAGAATGGTCAGTGGAACACAATTATCACTAACACCACCCTCAAGGATATTGGATTACAGTGGTGTCCTCCATTTTTCATTGTTAGATTTTTTTTTAATTGGCTGATTCAGTCACTGCCCCCCTTCTCTTGATAAAGCAATGTCTACAAGACCTACCCTATAGCCAAAACATGCTCAGCTTTGCAAACCAGTATATTTGTGACAAGTTACATGTACCATACACCATACATGTACCTGATGATGAGTACACTAAATCAAGTTAGATCATTCCTACATGTATGAGCACTTGTACTTTGCCCAACATACAAGTGTATTTTGTAAAAATTATGTATGTATGTACATGGACTTCTTTCTGCAGGATCTAGTGTATCAGTACATGTACGTAAGACGTACATTGTACAGTACATGTACAGTACACTCTAGTTAACACATTTTTTATTTTGGTATATGTACAAAGAACACTAATAAAAGAACATAAAAGAGGAAAAAACTCTACAATACAAGATCTGTAGATGTGTGAATTCCGTCACTGCATGAGAAATGGGAGCAAGGTAAGAAGAGATATGAGCCTGTGTGCTATTTTTGACACAGGATGCATAATAGAATGGTGAAGATCGATGTGTCAGTCAGACGTACGTACATGTACAGTAGTGCATCAGCAGTACATGAGGTACCAAAAATCTTGAAACCTACACTAGCAGACAGGTGCATGTAGATCCAGAACATGTAACAGCACAGCCTTAACAGTTAGAGGCCTGACATTTACAGACCTACATGTATATATATATGTATACAGACCCAGGAAGGATCTGTCTAAAACACACTCAAAAGACAAAAACGGTAGAACTTGGTTTCTCTACACATACACGTACATATACATGCTGTTTGTGCAAAATATGCAATTTGACTAGCCTACATGTTTTTGAAAGGACAAATATTTTTGAAAAAGAAAAGGGAGAGGAGGAAGCATAATCTAAATATTACATTT